GAATTTGCATTTCATCTCCTCAAGATTCGTCATTGTTGGAGCATATTTACTGATAACAGGGGCGTAACGGTTTCCTCGGCGAGAGAGCCGAAAAGCCATGAGGCGATCGTTGATTCCTTAGGGAATTTTGTTAAATGTACTGATCAGATATGTTTTGACGGCAGATCCCACTCCTGGTTGACGATGTTCTTTACTATAGCGATCGATCGAGAAAAAGCCAGGCTTCGATCAGCTGACTTTTACTTGCTAACCTTGTCTCACTACGCTGGGAGATGAATGTTGTATCTGCCCAGTTCTCTTACAACTAGAGCTGTCCGTCTCAGGTCTGTAAACTTTGGTGCTGTCCATCCCCAGTAAAAATATTTTGTGATCACAGAGTGATCACAAATCACGCCCGTGATCACGGGTGTGATCACTCCTTTTAGCGTCATCACAAAAAAGGAAGGCGTGATAAATGGGTGATTAGAGTGATCACACCCGTGATCACTCCTTTTTCATCAGTGAAGGTGTGATCACGTATCACGGCATTAATTGATCGGACTGCTAAGAGATACTGAAAGTAAATGTTTCAGCAATTCATATGCCGCGGTTAATCGCATAGACCTGTTTACGAGTTAATGCGCCATTTATTGACAGAATGGATAGAATGGGCAAAGCTGTTAAACTAAAACCCCAAATTTTGAATTTTGATTTCTCTTATGTATGAATTTATCACCTGGAGCCCATTACGTGCTGAATTTAAGACAATGCAGCGAACAGGCTGACTGCGATGGGATGCTCAAGAAACCGCCTGAGTAACGGAGATATAACCGATGAAATCAAAAAACGAACTTTGGTTTGGGCAAAATTAAATAACAAAGTTTTAGTTCAAAGAAGAACAGAGTCTAAGTTTCACTTCTTTACGATAACCAAAGAGTGGAGCTACCTTCACATTTCAGTGTAAAAATAATTTGCAAACTTTATTTTAAAAAACAGCACTACCTAGCAGCATATCTTAGCATTCATCTGGCAAATAAAAACAGTAACGACTTACCAGAAAATCAATATTTGCACAGTTTTAGTTATGTTCATTTACATTGGGAAAACGAGAAATCATCAGCGCATTGTTGGGAAGAATATCAATAAAGACACATTTACGTCTTATCTCCTGAACAGATATCACAAATGCCCTTCCGGACCTTGGTTTGATGTGCGCGTGATGTTTCACAAGGCATCTATTGCGATACTTTCTCAAAATGTCACGCACGATATCTTTTTCTGCTTATCATCAGTTAAAGACTGTAGGATTTCAATGCAGTCACGTTCATTAAAAAATAGTAATGGTTCAGAGTTTTCCTCCAGTTCATTGACAACACAAAGTCCAAAATCATGTATCTTTAAAAAGTGTGTCACTCTGCCATAACAAAGCGTATTGTTTCTGTCAAAATATTCAATTACAGTTGAGTCAGTTTTGCGTGTTTTCGTGCACAAGGAAAAAAACTTTTGTCCGTCATCACTCTCAAATCTGCGATATGGTTCAAGTTCATAATCTGCGGGTAACTTGTTTGCCATTACAAAGATCCTTACCAAGGTCAGGATGTTGTTGTCAATCAACTTTCTTCTTTCTTTTCCACTTAAGTAACCCCCATGTACTTTAGCAGACACTTTGTTAGAACTTTTAGAATAACCAGTAAGACTTCGCAACAACATTTTGCTGTCCCTAGGAATGTCATTGTGCTGCAGAATCTTTTTCGTAAAATTAGAAAGGCCGAAACAAAGACCAATTGCACATCCAATTTGCTCCATAGCGTGATGCGTTCCATGAACTAGTGGTTTGATAAAAGCATTCATGCTTTCAAAGGCAAAGCAACTGTATGCCCATAGAGGTCCTCGACGTGAAACATAATAAGCTAAATGTTGCAATAAATGGACATTCATGGTGCATCGTGTTGGCCCATAGAGTATACCCATTAAAAGAACAAAGTCTTGTAGCATGCCGTCTGCCTCTTTGAGATCTGTGTTCGATATTGAATCAGAACACAAGATTCCAGTTGCTCCGACAAGAAGAGACCAGTGAAAAATGTACAGAGGATTTAAGATTTTGTACAACACTGGCACAGAATAATGCAGTAGCCAGTTTTTAAGTTCTGTGGCTTTCCAGTGTTTAAGATCTTCTAATGATCTGGGCAATCTCCCAACAATGTCTGGCGGCTTTATCGAAAGAAGCTTATGGGACATAGACGGAGTCTTTGCCCCTATAAAAAAGACTTTGTCCTTGTTTCCATCAGACGTTTGTAGATGCATAATGTACTTTACGACTCCAAGACAAACGGAGTGCATCCAATCAATTGCAAATGAACGCACCAAATCAAACGGATACGAAAGCTTTGCGAAAATGCTATGCCCCTTGACTCCCATCACCGCTTGCTTAATTGTGGCCTTTGATGCAAATTTTAACTGATCTTCATGAGTCCTTTTTATGGGGCTTTGTTCAAATGGCCAGTATCTATGGATGTTGTTTGGTCCGTAGCCAACTCCTTCTGACTTGCAGAGATGGCAAGCGCATTTTCCATTAAAACGTTTCATATTCATCAAGTCAGCTCGTGCAGGTAAGTCGGCTGTTGCTAGAAATAACATACATCGGACGTTGATATCTCCATCTGCACTGTCCGATACATGTATTCCAGTCGAATTAAGAACATTCAGCTTTTCAATCAAAGGGTTGAGAAATGTCAACATGTTTGGATCGTGTTTGTCGCAATAGATGTAGGCAGGAATAATGAACTTTCTTTTGAATCGGTATTCTTTAGGGAGTTCGTTGATCATGATATAAACCGGCCACAAATGACCTGCCCTAGAAGTCGAATATTTGTTTACTCCATCAGTGTTAACTGTAAACGAAATATTGTACAATTCTGAGAGAAAGCCCCCAGGATGTATGAAATTCTTGTAGTCAAGTCCATGGTATATGTCATGAATTCTACTACAGCTAGCTGCACGCTTTACCTGCTCTTTTCCTTTCTTTAATAAGTTCATAAATTCAGAATCTCTAAAAAGGTCTTTGATCTTTTCTTCTAAATGCAAATCTAGAAAACTCGACATTCCTGCCTTGGAGCATTTGGTATTTGGGCACTTGTCTTCGACAGCCTGTAAACAGTTAGTGCAGTAATTTATCTTTGTTGGTTCCTTGGAGCCAAAGTATTCTTTCATGATCAGTTTCATTTTGTACACTGACTGAAATGTTTGTCTACATCGGTCTCCAAGAAAGGCGGTTAGCAGGCGAAGGAGATCTGCCCAGGCTGCTGCACTTAAATTGTGCTTTAAAACAAAGCTTACAACTAGCACACATGATAAAATTTTTGATATTGCGCTGCCTTGATAAAGTGGCATTTCCTCGTCACAAAGCGCAGTTTTGTTCAAATTTTCTGGTTCACGGCCCATCCCTTCCATCTCCTCCTGTTCACTTTGGGAAAAACGATCTTCACTACCTGAAGATGATGTTTCACTTTCCTCCTCTGATGAAGAAGTGGTATTGAGAGCAGCTTCATCTTCGAAGTTATCAGAAGAAATCACATTGTCGTCATCCTGAATTTCCTCAGTCAAGCCGATCTTCATTTCTTCATTTTTGTCTGTATCACTCATTATTTCCACTGATTCAGCAGTGTCCATCAGTGAAACTGGTAGAGTGCTGCAGGCGGCTTTGACATCTTTATGATATTTCTTTAGTTGCCTACTGGGATTTTTTTGATCTCTGAAAGGTGTATATTTCCTTTTCATCTTGCCCTCATTCTTTCTGTGATAATACCGAAGCTGTCTAGATTTTTGTTTCGGTTCTTTGACTTTGCCTTCCCCATGTCCTGGGTTTTCATTTTCGTCATCCGAACTTGAATATGTTTTCTCGCTGCTTGAAGAACTGTCGAGGTTGTCCATACTTTGAAGCAAAATATTACTGCAATACCTGATGATATCCTTTACATGGCATTCGGTCGGTGCCGCAAAAGATTAAAAACTTATCTGTCATCTTGGAAGGAATGGGATTCTTGAGTATCGGATGGTAAATGACGCAAAGAAAAAACTTATTTTTAATGGTTGAGAGATTATATCCAATCTACGTTGACCTAAAAGTAATGTGATTTCGATGTGTTTATCAAAACTGTACTCAGCGTGTTAAAAAAAAGCTGACCGAAGCAAGTCTACGTTAACGAGTTTGCGTGCTGTTTTATACTTATCTGTCATCAAAGTCGTTTCAACCGGAAAAAAAATTAATACGAGGAATGTTTTGATTCATGATGACTCACGCAAATAAAAAGAAATCACATCCACTATCTGAGCTTGTAGCTTTTCCCTTTAAGGGACAAAATATTTTTACTTATTCTCAGTTTGACCTCAAAAAAGGTTTAACGTACAGCGCTGATGTTTCAGTATGTGACTAGACCATAGATAGGATCGTGACATTCACCGACTTGTAACCAATCCCCGCTCTTTCAATATCATTTTTCCAGGTGACAGGTCAATTGAATTCAAAGCGGGACATTTGAAATCTACTCAAGGTCAGTTGGCGAGCTCTTGGTGTTCACCTAAATCTTTCAGTGGTATTGGTGAGTCTTTTGATTAGGCGGTTGTAGAATCATGGCAATTTTTTATCCAGTAGAATTTCCATTAGAGGATGCTAAGTCGCGAGGGCCTCACATTGTGCCAGAAAGCAAGGTTAAGGAAGAAAATGGCTCCACCCGGGTTCTATGGAAAGTTGTGGATGAAAATGGGGAGCTTACAGAAGCCTATTTTACGGCAAAAAAAAACTTAAAAAGGGCACAAAGAAAGAGTCTAGCAAATTTATTGACCGCCTTAAGAAATCGCGTGAAAAGGCCGAGATCAGCAATAAATCGGAACGGAGACGAAAGAAACCTCAGAAATTTGATGACTATGACTTTGAAGATCTTACAGAGCAGCCAACAGCGAAAAAACCACGGCCTGAATTTCGCGAATTTTCATTGAAAAATGTTCACGCAGAAGATCTTCAAATGACTGAGTCCGATTCAGAGCCATTTGATCAAGAAGCTGAAGAAAAAGCCGTTCTTGCCAATTGGCAAAAGAAGGCGCTTTCCTCGAAGGCGGCCAAGAAGCAAATCACCAACAGTCTTTCCCGCCAAAACCGAGAAGAGTCAAGATCTGAGGAGAAGAGAAAACCTAAGGCGAAGAAAGACAAGGAAAACGAAGACAAAGGCTTAAGTAATGCAGCCCAAAAGAAAGCGAGATCTGAAATTGCAGAGAACCAGTCTATTAACATTGGCAAGACGGTTTCCCTTGGCATGAAGCTTCTCCTACATGGAGATGAAACGGACAAACCCGTTGAATTCAATCTTTCTGTGGAGCCGGAAACCACATTCAAGACCTTAAAAAACCTAATAGCAAAGACGACGCGAATTCCATCTGACAATCAACTTCTGGTTATTAAAGGACAAGAATGGAAAATGGACGAACATGGTCGAATATGTGATGACTGGTCAACTGATGACCTGGTGGCCATATTTGAAGTACTTGAGCCCTCAAAAGGTAAGTAACTGTATATTAAACAATAATAAAAACACAACGAACTGAAATGAATTTTGTTTCTGTTCTTGTTTTGTTTTGCGTGACTGACCAAGCCGGCTGAGTCTTAAAGACACTTACTCTACCATTTGTATTCTTCATTGTCAGCAGCAAACATGTCTATATACAAAAGCTGATAACTTGCCGTACGTAAATGTTTCATGCCTACAGGTGGAATCAGGTCTATTCATTGGACGAACTTTGCAAAGTAAAACGCGAATAAATGTCATTTGTTACAAATACTGTTGCAATTCTATAAGACATGATTAATTGAATTGTTTTTACTTGTTTTTTCAGAGTTCAGTAAGACCACCGTCCCTGATACCCTGGATAGCGAATTTCCAGCTAAAGTCGAAGTTGATGTTAACAACGACTTTCAGCCAAGCGATCAGTCAAGCCTGTAAAAAGGGGGTAAGTTAATTTAACTTAACTCCTTGCCTAAAGTGTAAATAATTATTTTCAGAAAATTTGATACCTGATATTAATTCCATATTTTAGTCTAAAATTGCCTTTTTTTACTTTTTTTCTCGTGACAAACTTGTATATCATGGCAGTTGGCACATCAATACCAGTGATTCACAAGATTTTTATACCGTCCACAAACGACAGACATTTATTAGAGTTGCCAAGGAAATTCATGTGCGGGAAAACTAGCTTAAGTTATTTCGCTGCATTAAAAACATACGTGAAATTTCAGTTTTTGTACTTACCTTTGATTGTCGTCATTCTACGCTTGTCAGAAATTCAGATTTTCCAAAATACATAGGCATATGATTGCCTTTCTTGAGCGTTCCCATGCGGCAGAAGTGAGTCTGTCGCACTTCACTTCAGTCTAATGACATGACAATGCGAACAAATGTACCATATTGTCACAAATATGTTGACAGAATACACTGACATTATCACACACGAGATTTTTACGCTTTCAAACTACAAATAATTGACAAGAGTTGTTCCCAAAAAATAATTAGAAGGAGGCTGTGCTATAAACGTCGACTGCAAGATCACAACTAGTAACAGGGCTAGTAACTGTTTAATTTGAAGACATTTTCATCACAGTAAAACTATTAAGTTCAAGGAACTGTCACAAAGTGAACCGTGACAACTGATAGGATGTTTTGTTTTCTTAATTGATATCATCAAAATAATACTAAATGTCAGTCACTTTATAAAAGATCACGCTATCTCAACCAAGTTGTTGTGCCGAAAAAAAAAAAGAGTGAGTGAGTTGCGAAAACTGTGACTTAAGTGTTTTGTGAATAAAGCTACATCAAGTGAATTGTCGTGGATTTCTATGAATACGGGCGCGATTCGCGACACACTGTTCTGGAATTTGCCCGCAATGAACTCAAAGCATGAATGACCATATTTTTCCCCCATACACCGTATTCACAAATGGCGGACACGCGGGAAAAAACTGGTGCCTAGTCATGAAAGCGAGGCGTTGGAGGGTAAACAAAAAATTGCAAATGAAGACTTTCAGTGAACTTGCAGAGTGTTTAGCACGGATTCCACCTAAAATAACTTTGTACGGACTTCTTTTTAAATACAATTACGTGGGATGTCTCCTGCTTTTAATGTTTAGTATTGATTTGCTGTTTGCAATCAAAAGGGACGCGTATATCTTCAAGGAAACAAAATGATTTTGTAGGTTTCCGAAGCATTAGAAGCTCGACAAGTCGGCGATGGCTGGAGAAAAGCGGCAAACATGTTGGCCCAAACTTCACAAACCGAGTTCGAAAGCCAGCTCACTGAAATTCGGTAAAATAAAAATATAAACAATGCAAATCTTGGTGGCAAGAAAAAAAGAAATAAGCGATGGATATATGGCCTACTTGTTAACGCAAGAGACGTGTGCCATTGAACAAAACAGTTCAAATCGAGATGGAAAAAAGGAAGACAGGAAAGAAGCGGTGACTGAGGTTTCGATGAAGTTATGTTTGGTTTTTGTCTGCCAGGACGTTATTCTCTGTTTTTTATCGATGACGGACATCAATTAGAACTATCTTTTTGGTATAAATGCAGGAGCGATCGAGTGGAGTACGCTCAGAATTTCAACTTGTTACTCGGCAGACTCGGTAAGCCGGCCACATTTCATTTCAGCGAGTAATTTTCCTATTTCTTATCTTTGGCTGTTAAGAGTTTTAACTTCATGTTCCATAATATTTTAAAAGTGAAGAATACATAAATAAATAAAATGATGGTCTTCTTAAACGGATCTAGACTCGCAGTTAATGATTCGAAACAGAAGCTTGCCGTGTTCAGTCCTGACACAAACATTGCCTTAAATGTTTAACCTAGTAAAATGTGAGCTTTATACCACTTTTTTACCAAGAGCTCTCCGAGATAATGCCGTAAAGGAGACCAGGCAAATACCAAGCCATAAGATTCACACACTAGAGCTTCTAGTTTTGATAAAATTATTTTATTTCGCAATGACAAAGAAATCAAAAGATTTTAAGTTTGCACTGAATTTGCTAAGCTCTGCCAACGTACCTCTAACAATTCACTCCAAAGCGACGGAATTAATATCATCCAAAGGAAGTTGTAAATACAGACATACACAGATATGTGTAAAATGACACTGACATGAATGAATGAGTCTCGTGAATAAATCTTTCACCCGCTCTCGACTTGACCTGTTTTGAGTAATGGCGGAGGTCTCTTCCGTTGACAAGTAGGCCATATATCCGTCGCTTATTTCTTTTTTTCTTGCCACCAATATCTGTTTTTACTTCTGTTTTACAGAATTGCAGTGAGCTGGCTTTCGTATTCGGTTTCAGCGTGAAGTTTGGGCCAACATGTTTGCCGCTTTTCTCCAGCCATCACCCACTTGTCGAGCTTCTGAGGCTTCGGCAACCTACAAAATAATCCTGTTTCCCTGAAGATATACGCGTCCCTTTTGATTGCAAACAGCAAATCAGTACTAAACATTAAGAGCAGAAGACGTCCCACGTCATTGTATTTAAAAAGACGTCCATAGAAAGTTATTTTAGGTGGAATCCGTGCTAAACACTCTGCAAGTTCACTGAAAGTCTTCATTTGCAATTTTTGTTTACCCTCCAACGCCTCGCTTTCATGACTAGGCACCAGTTTTTTCCCGCGTGTCCGCCATTTGTGAATACGGTGTATTATTCGTTAGGTTTAGGAACTGGAAAATTTGACAATGACCTGGAAGAAAAAGTGGACAAAATCCTCCACCAAGTGTCTGAGATGACAGCTAAGCTTCATAAGCTCACTGATGCTGTAAGGAAATTTGAGCAATGTAAAGCCTGTAAAAAGAGATACTACAAAGCAGTGGACAATGCAGACATCAGTTTTGAGGACCAGCTGTCAAATGTTGAATTATCACCAAGTCCCTCAGTCTCTATTTCACCAAAAGCTTCTGCCTCAAACAGCCCAGTTTCATCTTTGACCACTTTAAAACCACAAAATAGCCTAAACCAATTGCAAAAGCCGTGTAATGAGAGAGAGTCCACAATGCTAATTGGTTCCCCAAGCCGTGGAGTGTACGCGGCGAAGAAAAACGTGGAACAAATCTCAAAGAGCAGCCCAAAACGATTCGCCCTTAAACTTTCCGAACTTGTCTTCAGCAGGGAAGAAGCAAAGCTGGGAAGCGTTGAAGGCAAGGGTGATAAACTTCTCAAACTGGACCCAAACCGAATAGCAGCAGTGAGAGAATGTACAGAGATGTCGTTCCCTGCCAATGAAAATCTCAAGAGGACAGAGATTAAAAAATCTATAGATGAGAAAAGTAGAATGGTGAGAAACAACAGGTGTTTTGTGTGGGCAGGGGTTAACACCAGCAAGGATTAAAAGACAACCTGCACCACTGCTGAGGATAAGTTTAAAGAACCAATAAGAGGACTTATATCGTTTATAACATTACGAATGTGTTTACACATTATTTGATAAGAGCAGTAAATCCTAAATATTTTATCCATAGTTAAAGAACATTGGTTAGCCAGTAATTAAGGCGTTATAGCTGCCTGTGTAAAAAATTACGATTTAATGTTTACTTAAGCGTGCGTAACATTTACATGGAGTAATTTTGTAATTTTTGAAGCGTTATTAAAATTAAACCACTAATGTTTTAAGCCTGCTTTGTAATGAATGACGCCGCATGTAAGGGATGTGGCTTATAACATTTGCACTTTGCGGGAACCAGTTTGTTTTGGTTTAAGTAATAACTAGGAGGCAAAAAAACCCCGGAGATTTCGCAAAATCGGGTGTCCAAATTTGTCCTAATAAGTAATTTGCTTTTCGTCTGTTACCGTGATTTCAAGGGGTGATGCAAATTCCTGGCCGTGATCACAGTGTCATCACACTCATGATCACGCCTAAAAATTTGTCTGTCCGTGATCACACTATTTTCTGTGATCACGCTATTATCACAGTGTGATCACGCCTTGATCACGCGTAAAAAGTTTTTACGCGTGATCACGGCAAGATCACACCTTGTGATCACACCCGTGATCACGGTGTGATCACGCCTATATTTTTACTGGGGATGAGCGTATGCACATTCCATGTGCCGATCGATCGCGATGTGAGCTTTGTTTTCATCTTGATGTTTCGACCACATAGATAGGATCCCCTTCTGCCGCGGTAAGCTAAGGCAGCCTTTGTTGGGAGCATCTTTTCAAGCCCCTTCCTCAGGTGATGGAGGAACACAGAAGAATTCCTAAAGGGGAATGCTCAGACATTCAGGGGGGATGCCGAACTCCACCGCTCCTTCAGTCCAGTAGCGAACGAACCTAGTATGTTGTGACCACAGCTTCCAGTGGCAGTGAATCTGCACCTGCGGCCTCGTCACACGCCCTTTGCGACAGAGCTTTAAGGATGAGTGGGTATGATATCTCAGTCACTTGCACGTGAATTGGATTAAGGTGTGGAAGAGTTGCGCCGTGTCGTGAGCCTCACTCTCTCGCCCTGAAAGTTTAGGCCCTTTCGCGGGACATAGGCGAGGTGGCTGGAGATAAAGCAAGAAGCTTTACAGCACCAGCTGCATGCGAACCGTTGGCTCATAATAAGCTCATTCGTCCTTTGACAGGCCTCGTCCTGCTGGGCGACTCCACACCATTCTACAATTTAGGGGCCGCAACCAAAATGGCTCAGTTCTAGCTCTTTGATAAGGCAGAGTAGTGAACGTGACCCTGATCTTATAGCTCGTGATGGATGATGGACTTTTATTAGAGACTTCAAGTAGTCTACCAACTGGCCATTTATGGTCTTGTAGTGAGGTTAAGGGGAGACTGTTGAATTCACTTCTTTTCTGAACTGATAGCAGGGCACGTTTTTTTGATAAAGGCGTGCAATGGTCGAAACGTCACTAGAACACATCATATAACGCACTGCAGTATTCTGAATTTTTTTGAAGTTTATCTTTTTGATATTAAGGTATGCCATATAAAACACTGTTGCAGTAATCTAATCGAGAAATAACAAGAGCATTAATTAACCAAGTAAACATCCTTATTATTGGAGTAGCAATTTTACAAACTTCATTGATGTGAGCACTCGACAAATTATTATTCATTATGAAACCTACGTTTCTAGCTTTCTTCTTAAAGTCAATTCCTGTAAATGTAATGGTTGCTTCGTAAACCATGATGGGAAATGATTGCGTAGCTTAGGCCTGTGCCAATTGTGCTCGGCAACGTTTCAGCAACTTTTAGCGTTTGGAGCAACGAAGTCGAGCAACCGAGAGTAATTTTTGAGCAAAGCATAGGTTTAGAGCACATATCAAGCACGAAAAAGTCAACGATTTCATAGAATACTTCAAGGATAGTCCTCTCTGCTAAATGTTTTAGCAACCTTACAACACACAACCTGTCACTTGTCCACGTTTCGCAGGCCTGAAAACGAAATTATTACCGTATGAACAATTAATTAATATCCTTAAATCTTCTCCCATATTAGCAAGCGATACTCTAAATCTGGCTTCAAGCAATTTTTCTTGACCGTAAGCCTCTAAGCCTGTAAGCGCTGTAAGCTTGTAAGTCCTACAAGCCTGAAAGCCCTGTAAGCCTGTAAGCCCGTAAGCCCTGTAAGCCCGGTAAGCCCTGTTAGCCCTGTAAGCCCCTAAGCCCTGTAAGCCCTGTAAGCCCTGTTTATAGCCCTGTAAGCCTTAAGCACCGTAAGCCCGTAAGCCCTGTAAGGCCTGTAAGCCCTGTAAGCCCGCAAGCCCTGTAAGCCCTGTTAGCCCTGTAAGCCCGTAAGCCCTGTAAGCCCTGTAAGCCCTGTAAGCCCATAAGCCCTGTAAGCCCATAAGCCCTGTAAGCCCTGTTAGCCCTGTAAGCCCTGTTAGCCCTGTAAGCCCGTAAGCCCTGTAAGCCCTGTTAGCCCTGTAAGGCCTGCAAGCCCGTAAGCCCTGTAAGCCCGTAAGCCCTGTTAGCCCTGTAAGCCCTGTAAGCCCGTAAGCCCTGTAAGGCCTGTAAGCCCCGTAAGCCCGTAAGCCCTGTAAGGCCTGTAAGCCCTGTAAGCCCTGTAAGCCCTGTAAGCCCTGTAAGCCCTGTAAGCCCGTAAGCCCTGTAAGCCTGTAAGCCCGTAAGTCCTGTAAGCCCGTAAGCCCTGTAAGCCCGTAAGCCCTGTTAGCCCTGTAAGCCCGTAAGCCCTGTAAGCCCTGTTAACCCTGTAAGCCCTGTAAGCCCGTAAGCCCTGTTAGCCCTGTTAGCTCTGTAAGCCCGTAAGCCCTGTAAACCCTGTAAGCCCTGTAAGCCCTGTAAGCCCTGTAAGCCCTGTTAGCCCTGTAAGCCCTGTAAGCCCTGTAAGCCCTGTAAGCCCGTAAGCCCTGTAAGCCCTGTAAGCCCATAAGCCCTGTTAGCCCTGTAAGCCCTGTAAGCCCGTAAGCCCTGTAAGCCCGTAAGCCCTTTAAGCCCATAAGCCCTGTAAGCCAGTAAGCCCTGTCAGCCCGTAAGCCTTGTAAGCGC